GTGTAACCTATTGTTTATAGATCTGGTGATTAATCACCCATTGTATAGTCTTATGTATTCTGTTAAGTTTCTCATTGATACTCATGCGCTGACGAAGGTAACAGGAGTTGCCGAAAATTTCGCTAATAAATATTTCTATGTCTCCTACAAGTCAAAGTATCGTAGCAGTTTATTTTGTCTGCGTCTACCTACTGATTTATTCATACGATGAGACATACGTGGATCCACATCAACAACACCGATTGAATATGAATTTTATATACGTATATATATATATATATATACGTATATATATATATATGTGTATATGTGTATTATATACACATACGTGTATATATATATATACGTATGTGTAATTATTACACATAGAAATATTTTATATTTGCGAAATAACTCCTGTTACCTTCGTCAGCGCTTAAGTATCTATGTCTCCTACAAATAAATAATTTTTTGTGAATATTTTGGGTCTTCGGTCTTCATTTTATAGATACCCGTTGACTCCCTTGGCCACTCAATAGAAAGCAATATCAAGGGAAGTTTAGATACGTTATGTGGAAAAACATTTCAAAGAGAGTGATGGGATACGTCATGCAGGACCTTTGTAGAACGGCAATTAGCTGTTTAAAATACATTTTTGATGCAAGAAAATTTACAAATTGGTCCCCACCGCCTCTATCTTATTATTTTGGAAAAACAACGCTCATGATATATGACACCTGAATTATAAAAAAGATCATGCATAATGTCTCCTTGTAATGATGTAAATTGCATTATTTTTTTTTTAACGGTTGCTGATTTTATGTTATTTTAAAATCTTCTTTTATTTTGTCTTTGTCAAAATGTATTTGTTGCCTTGCTCCCTGCTTTTCAGAGTAAGAATGTGACCTCGGTTTTGCTTGAATGTTTCATCCTTTTGAATAAAGTCACGAAAAATGACAAATGTGTATATATGTATATTAAAAACCCTGAATGAGTTGGCCCCTAAATTTTTCCAAATTATATAATAGGAAAATTATAATAAAATTTAAGCCTGAGAATGCCATTTCTAGTCATCTAGCAGTGCCATAATCATAAATTATTTCCATGGTGGGGCTGAGGTGTGTAGACCCTCAAACTGCGAAGGTCCCTCTATCTGCGACCCCTCTAATTCGAATTCCTGGATCGGCCATTAGTGGTGGCGCAAGAGGAGGGGATGGGGGACTATAGCCCCCCGTCGGGGAAGACGAGTAAATTTTGTCGGGGAATAAACAAATAAAAAAAATTATTTACTTTCATTAAAAACTATCTGTGTTAACTTTTCATCACAATAATAATAATAATAATAATAATAATAATAATAATAATAATAATAATAATAGTTCAATGAGACTAATTAAAAATAATTTGCATTCTGCTATGAAAAAATGCGCGTTTGGATAGCCTCATGATGCTTGGAATACATCGTGATAGGGGAAGCAACCTCAACCTTGACAGCGTGGTTGACAGATTTCATGCAAAATTTCCAAAATTTAGAATTTTACTTTCAAGAATGAGGATTTGAAAATAAATTAGATTGTTACATTGCATACTCTTTTGTTTCTTGTTTTATTCAAAATATTTTGGTTTTGGAAGCTGATTTCGACATTAGAAAACATAGCCTACATGAAGTCTTATTATAGTAGCTCGATGCCTATCAAATAAGTAATAAAAATTTGTCATAATTTGTCAAATATTCGTGGATTCCAGGGGGCAAAGCCCCCTGGTCCCCAGCGGGGGCCCTGGGCGTCCCTCTGGCTCCTAGCCAAGTGGGACTCAATTCGCTCCACTAGCCCCTCCATCGGGCAGGTCCTGGCGTCATTACTGCCGCCACTGATCACTGTCACCATGAAAATGTATCTTTAACCTGTGCATTATGCATGTCCCTCCAAACAGCATGCATAACCATCACAGGCACTCTCCGTTTAAAATTTGGTAAGGTATGCTCAAATAATTTACAAATTACAAATTATTTGGTCTGCTAATTCCCCCTCAATTCATCATCAAACCCTCCCACTTAACCATCACATCCTCTCCCTCATTTCAGTACTCCTAGACATGTCAGTGTAGTGAAGCACCATAAGCCTGACAACTATTTCAGACACAGACATTCATTTTTATTATTAACTTCTGCCTGAACTTTTACCCCAGAGATTGTCACAACTTTTAGTTTTTCCTGTAGAGTTAGTCACTAGTCTATTGTGATGCAGTGTGATTCATTTTCCTCTTTTACTAACTTATAATATGACTTTACTTTACACTTATAATGGTAAACAAGGGAACATTAATATATGGCAGTGGATCTCATGGTAGAACTCCAATAACACAGCATTTCAACCCTATTCTTAGGCAAATGTAATATAGCTCGTAAAATAAACAAATTGTCAACGTTCAATGTCAACATCACTGCAATGACCAAACTGTGCTTTACTGTTTGCTTTAGCCATTTTCTTGCAAATTCAATATTCTTGCTAGTTTTTTTTTTGTTTTTAACTAACATCAGCATAAGCAACATAATACAACTACAGTACATTTATCTGTAATAAGATCTCTCATGTGGCTTCTTCCTACTGTACCCCTACGCAAAAATAAAAGCTACCCTGGACAGATTGCTGTTGTTAGTGCTAAGTGAGAGATTTACTGTATGGGGTTTTGCTCAGATCAAGGTGGTATTTAATACCTAACTAATATGCTAATAAAACTACAGAATAAAACTTTTATAAAATAGGAACCCGAAATTTTCACTGATACATGCAGGAAAACCGGGAGGGCAGAGCATCGGCAGACTGGGACGCTACGTGGTCCAGATTCAGTGTAAACTCGTAGTGTACGAGATACGATACTTATATATTACCGCCACGTACGAATATTAGCACCAGACATGCCCATGTGGGCTGCTCAGTCATCCATTCAGGCCAGGGGAAGAAGGCGGTGGTATCCCTATCGATGAACATCTGAAAAACGAGCAAAGGCTACTAATGATGTAATGTAATCAAAAGTTCTGCCCGTATGTATCAATGGGGATTCTAAGGTTTACAGAGGGACAAATGAGCCTAGACTCTAAGTCTCGAAGAAGAAAGGTAAACAAAGGTAAGGTATGCATAGAGAAAGAAAATGGTAAATGTTACCTACCCGATTTTCGTTGAGACAACCAGTTCCAAACTTTACCCGTCCTGCTCAGTGGCGTCGATAAGCTCTAACTGACTTGGAACTTAATGATCCACCAGTGTGTCAGTGCATGACCTATTAATAAGGTCGCAACCAAAAAATGGGTCGACACTACATTTGCGTTGGGTCGCGAGCAGGTTTGCAAATAACAATTCAATTCAGTGCTCATATTCAGACAGTTGATGTAAAGTTTAACAGCTCTGATGACTAAACATAGTATTTTTAGGTGAATCCTCATAGGCCCCATAAAAAAATTATTAGTTTACCACCCTATCAAAGAATAAAAACTGTTGAGGGAGGGAGGTTTTTTTTTGTTTGTTTGTTTTTTTGGTGTTTTTTTGCTAACCCCGCCCCCATTTTACCGATGATCACAAGTAAATCAATGGTTAGAGACACATATATAAAAAGTCATAAGAATGGAATCAAATTTATATTTAAATAATATGTTTTTGTTGTACGTCAGTAAACATATTTTGCAAGAAATCCTAAGCTTTCAAGTGAAAAAATATAGAAAAGGGACCGTTTGAAATTAAAAAAATATATGTTAGGTGTATATCGTAAATTTTGTACTATTCAAGTGCTTTTTTCGGGTATCAAATTCTTAAACTCACCTGAGCCCAAACCATGGTGGGGCTCAGGTGGATATAGGCCTAATAGTTTTTAGAACTGTAAGTGGCCTATTTTACTGCATTTTCGGGCACCTTTTTTAATTAATTCGGTTTTTTTAACTCGTTTTGTAAAAAATAAGAAGAATTAGAAGAAAATTTAAGTCATATTTGCGAGCATAGAGGTACAAAATACTGAAAATGTTCGTATGTCACTGCCACCAAGGTGGCGCTGACGTGGTGTGGACTCGCATGTCATTCAGCATCCCCTTTACTTAAATCCTGGATACGCTAATGATTAACTAGGCCACATGGTTAAAATTTAGGTTTAAGATCATCAAATATATAATTCAAATGTTGAAAATATTTTCTGTAAAAAAAAGGCCAATTATATTTTCGTTTCAAATATATTAAAAGTTGTGTAATTTTCCAGTGGCGGATTCAAGAAGGCTCCCCCCCCCCCCACTCTCCAATTAAAAAAAACGATGGGAAAAATGGGAAAATAATTGTATTTAATTCAACCTGAGAGTGTCATTTTCGGCCATTTACGGGTGTCATAATCATAACATTTCTTGCCTCAGCCCCGACCATGGTGTGGCTGAGGTCGATTTACCTCCTATCTGTGAAAATCCCTTTTTAGGTGCCCCTCTATTGCAAAAATTCTGTATCCGCCACTGTTTCTCAAAAGGACGATCATATTAGTACACTGTAAACATAAAACGATGTAATATCACGTCTTCATTTTTTTTTAAGATAAGCATCGCGACTTTGGGAAATCACAAATTAGGTCTCAGAGAAAAAAATTTGGGAAGCAGGGCTGTAAATGTAGCACGGTGACCAGACCTACGGCATAAAATCTGGCATTTAGACTCCTTTAGCATCTATCATTGTGATAGGCATAATCATTACGGTATTTTGGCAAACTGTTGCATGATTTAGGATAATTTTGACCTCAAATATAAAAATATACTTTATAATAAATTCAATCAGCTCCCCTGAAAATCCTCATTGACATACCTGTCAACCTTGAGGAATTTCAAAGAGTAAGATCGGATGATACATAATAAGTACCAAAGGGCTGGGGGCCAGGGGACCGCCAAGGGGTCCCGACGCTTTGTCTTAAATGGCATATCTAATCGATATTAGTGAGTTTATAATGATCTCAGATACAGCAGTTTTTGAAAGATAGTTTAAGATAAAGAAAGGCATCTTTCTTATGAAAATTCATTACAAATTAAAAAAAAGAAACAAAATTTAATTAAATTTTAGGATAAGCTTAAGTTTTGCCGGTGTTTGCGAAAGACCGTAAGATTTGATTTGAATGCAATGGGTAAGACTTACGGCGAATACCTACGGGTTGACAGGTCTGCATTTACGACGATTGTTGTGTGCTAAGTTGTACTGTAGGCCTATCTGGTTTTTTTTTCTTCTTTTTAAATTATTTTTCTTTTTTTTTAAATTAATTTTAGGAAGGTTTTTGACAACGCCTGACCACGCCACCTTTGTTCTCGTCGAGGATATCAGCCCAACCCCGTCCGTCGGGGACTTTATAGCCTGTCGGGGAAATCCTGGCACCGTCACTGGTCTGAAGTAAGAACATTTATAAGGCACCTGTAGATGGCCGGAAATTACACTCTCTGGCTTAAATTTGAATAGGCCTATAATTTCCCTTTTTTTTTATTAAACAAATTTAGGTGTGGGGGTTGGGGGTGGCTCAACTGCTCAACAAATTCTTTATCTAAAATAGTCATAATTACGAAAGATGTTCATGAAAAAACCAGATCACATCCTGAAAACAAATGTTTAGCAGTCACTAAGACTCAATTGAGTTTAATGTCATACCAAGGGAAGGGCACAGGTCTGTTTGGAAGGTGGTGGGGGTGGGGGAGACATTTCGTCCACACCCCAAACATGGTGGGTCTGAGGTGAGAAAACTCTATGAAATAGTACATCTAGATGGCCAGAAATGACACTTTTAGTAAAGTTCATCATCATCGCATCACCATTATCAGGGGCGTATCCACAGATATCCGAAAAGGTGGGGGGGGGGAGCGAAAGTGGGGCCAATCGAGACAACACTCCTTAGGGGTCCGGGACCATGCCCCCGCGAAAGTTTTGTTCTCTAGACGCCCAAAAATTGCCTCTGTGGCGTTTTGGGCGATCAATTTTTTTTTCATTTTTTATTTAGGCCTATTTTTTATTTGTAAATTTTTTTTTTTACTTTCCAGAAGGAGTTGGGGCTGGTGTTGGTCAAAATAAAGCGCCGACAAATTTTTCACGATCTTTTACCAGGGATTTTGGGCAACATAGAGATCTAATTATAATATCCAGGACAATTTAGGCCTAAATATACTATAAGCTTTAACTACTATAATAGTTATGGTCAACAAATCACAACTTTCTTTTTCGCATTTAGCACAATTTTTTTTGTATTATTTATTATCATAATCATCATCGTCATCATCATAATCGTCATTATCATCATTTTACTACTACTAGTAGCAGTATTATTAAACAAACAATATAAACGCTTAAAAAATGATGAAAAACAAACAACCATAGAATATCACAATTCTGTATCTTAAAAGACGATTTAAGACGAATTTAAGCTGATTTTTTTTTTGTCAAGTTTGATAAATCTGCCCCCTGAATAGTCGCCGTTATAAGCCCGAAAATTTTTTTTTTTTTGCATTACCGTGTATATACGGAAGTACCTAAGTGCCCACTTGACGACTTGTCAAGATAATTTATCTTGTCAAGTCGACACAACTTTTAAAAGTTGGACAACTTATCTGTGCACTTGACAAGATAAATTATTTTGAAAAGTCGTAATATTCCACTGGGTTACTATCAGGTTAGCGGGTGACTTTTATTGATAGATGTTTATGGTGGGTTTCTATCAGAACACAGGTCATAAACATATAGTAGAAGGAGTCAATTTGAATTGAATTGACTCAACGTGGTATAACGTGTGCTGATGCATATTTTAAGAAATATTCATTTTGAGTGATCCCAGGAAAAAAATTGTATTGGTTAGCAAGAACAAGCTTCATAATTCTAACACTGTTTACAAAGGAGGCTCCCACGCCCCCGCCCCTGGATCCATCCCTGTTCAAGAGTACCTTGTGCTTCATTTGCATTTCTTGAAATTTATAAGGAACTGGGGAAGATGCAATATTAAAAATACCTCTTCCTTGATGATTGCAAACCTTGCTAACGATTCGAAAAAACTGAGCCGCTGAAGTTCGTACAATTAAATCAATGGTATATACAGATTACTTTATTTCAACATGATTAACAAATTTGAAATGAAAATTTCTGATAACCCGTGTGTATACCATGGTATCATATTTGATAGTTATCTTTATACCAGGAAAAATCCGGAAAAATCAATTCCCTGTCAAAGCAGGCTTATTAAATTTAATCACCGACGTAGCCTGCGGCCCTATCCACTGTTTTAGATCGTAAAACTTTCTGCCTGTACCAATTTAGATCATTGAAATTCATTTTCCAATATTTTCTAGTAGGCCCTACAATATCTTTCATTCAACAAGGGAGTTGTTATGTAACAGTAATAAATGAATTGTGCGAGAAGTGTACAAAACACACAGTAGGCCTATCTAATATTCATTCATTAATTGAATAATTATCTTTATTTGATATAGGCCTATAACACTTTTGTATCAGCGGAAATCACAAAGTTGCGGTGCATTTAAAAGAGAAGTAGGCCTACCGTAGTAAGCCTGGTTTAAGTTCTGTTTCCATAGAATCGCTCATCGGGCGACAGTCGCCGACAGTTATCGGGAAGGTTGAACCTGGTTCAACTTTGCCGATTGCGTTGCAGACGAATCAGGGTGCAGTTGATCGCCCAAAACGCCTCAGAGGTATTTGGTTTTTGATGCAATTTTTTGTATTTTAATTTTAATTAATTCAATGCAATCCTTGCACTGTGTAGCTGTTCCCGACGTCCCCGACGCAATCGGCAACGCTCCCCTGATTCAACCGACCAATCAGTGTCGCGAAAAGAGTCGGAGATAGCGTGTGCGATTTCTATGGAAACCAGGCTTATGTGATCATCTAACTGCTTAATGTTTGCAAGTCTTTTAAAAAAAATTTAGACGTTGGCAATTTTAAATTGCCGCTGAGACTACCATCCTATATTTCGGCAGAAAGAACCTCTTCACTGGTATTTCGGGGTGCACTGCCCCGAAGTATAAATCTAGCCATTTGAGTTCGAACTCGTTCTAAATGCTAAATATCATTTCACATAAGCAATATAGATATATTTTAGCCAATCAGATAGGATGCCCACGATGACGTCAGTCATACTCATGAATAATTCGTTCTACAGAAGGGGAGAAACGAAAGCTTTCGCATGAGTAGGGTGGACAATTAAAATTGTGTCTCCTGAATTATTATTCATGAGTACAGCTGACGTCATTGGCTAAAAGAAATGTATTGCTAATGTGTACTGCAGAAAAAAAAGGCTCCCGGACCAGGTTGAGCAGCCATAATTAATTGATGTACGCTTAATACCAATATACCTTTCCGGAGTGTCAATCAAACTTAACAACTGACTAATCAGAACAGCGCTAGGAATACGCGCACGTCTTACAAACACACGTGTTGTCCCACAAACGCACGTGTTCGCGTATGTTTTAACACTGTCGTCTTGTGGGACCTTAGCAAAAATATCCAAGGGGCGGAGCTTAGCGGAAAGGTCCATTGCTTTTTCGATAATGTGTCACCGTCATAGACTCTGTTAAAATCATTTTGATCCTTTAGAATGGATTGAATACCGTATGTGTTATTTCCATAATGTGTCACCATAATAGACTCTTTTAAAATCATTATGATCATTTAGAATGGATTGAGTATTATGTTACAATTGTGTTTCCTCTTTCTATAACTTCATAAATGAGTTTATGATTTGACATAGTTCTTTATATAATACAATCCGGTATTTATATGTGTCAACCTATCTGTTACCTACCTGAAGTACGTCTCAGAAATATTACAAAAAAACATAAAAACTAATCAGTGGCTTATCCTCGGTGTGATTCACACCAACAATGCTCCTCCAACTCCTATTCTAACAACAGTGAATATAATAATAATAATAATAATAATAATAATAATAATAATAATAGTAATAATAATAATAATAATAATAATAATAATAATAATAATAATAACAATAATAATAATAATAATAATAATAATAATAATAATAATAATAATAATAATAATAATAATAATAATAATAAGTTCAAATTCCAGTCTGCCGCCTTAGTACAGTAGTAGTTGTCTGATGATCCGTAAATTTCCGTCTGCCACACTGTATATTTATTTATTTACTTGATAACAAAAATATAAAATAAAAAGTTTGATTTACAAGTTAGAACAATTAACAACAACAAAGATTTAACTAAAAAAAGAAGCACACATCTACACAAGCACTGACAAAATATGCAGCTATAAAGAGACTAAACTGTAGACCTACATACAATATTAAAATACAATTTAAAAACCACTTAAATAATACCAGTGAAAATTAACTAAAGCAAAAGATGTGAAGGGACGGAGTAACAAATTGTACCATGCTTGTAAGGATCAGCTGTCTGATGTCGGTAAATTTCAGTCTGCCGCCCTCTATTATAACCTGGCATCAAATCAAAGCAGAGCATAGGGGTAGATAATAATACTGCGATATGTCATAGAGTATAATTATTGTTATAACTATATGGTGTAAGTGCAACCGTAAATACAACTTGGTGAAACGAGCACGACATAAAATTCGTTCCAATGAAAATGAAAATACACATGCGCAAATATTGTTACTACCTCCGCCAAATTTAGATAAAATAACAATTTACATTTTAATATATAGCGCATATTGCGGCCTCTACGCGCTTTACGGGAAATCATAAATCAATAGGGGGCCTAATATTTTTTTTATTTATTTAAAACATTTTGTACTCAATAGAATTGTCAGAAAATATAAAAATGAATATAATAAAAAAGGTAAACAGTACAAACATCACAAAAACCAAAAACCCTTAAAAACATTTAACAAACTTATCCAGTTCCTCAGAATATATATAAAATAACCTTTTTACCAAACCACAAACCAATTAGTACAATACAGTTCATCTAAACCAAAATAGATATGGTGGGATAATTTCTTTATATACCGTAGCCCTACTGCCCAAGGAATTTCCCTCCTTCTCTTACTAGTTGGAATTATAAACATTTAATATTTAATTAACCTATTGTATTAAAAGTTTAACAATCTTGTAAAATTAAAGGCTTGAAATGACACTCTTATATAATAAAATTCATCATCATCACATGTGCCGAAAACAAATCTTATCTTTACACGCTTTTTTTTGTTCATACTTCTCAAAATATAATAAGACACGCACTCGAGTCGTGTATTATAGGTAATTCAGATGTTTGTAGGCAGAGAAGATACCTTGCTGTAAGATGTAGGCCTACTCTTATCTGGCTGTACAGCGTTCTTTCGTTACAACCTTGGTCAATTATGCAGTTCATTTCAAAAATTTTAAGGCATCTCCTTCAATCATGAAATTAAATTGTGGTCGAAAAGTGAGGGGGCCCAACTTTCTTAAAAATATGTGGGAAGGGGAGGGAGAAAGTGTCCCCGTCCCCTGCCCATCCACGCAGACAGTTGGCTTGACGTGACGGTATACGTGTGAATTTGTTTTGCAATAGTGTATTAGTAGCCTACTAATCTATTTTTCGCGATGCAATTTGCTTTTTGTCTGGATAAATTGACAAAGTTCAGAACTAGGGAATGAACTTTTAAACAGCCCAGCCTTTTGCACTTGGATACTGTTGCTACGGTGTCGGACCTTCGACGCAGCGTACGTACTAAATTGCATTGCGAGACAAGTGCGTATTCCTGGCTATTAAATAACACCAAAGATACTAGAAATACAAGATAGAGTTCTCGCATTGTAAAAATGAGGCGGAAGTCGTGCCCAACGTAGGCGGCGCCCTTCTTTTTAACCATGCGAGTTTCCTATACTTCGTGCCCAACGTACAGGGCGCCCTTCTGTTGCTAAGTATATCCAGACGCAAAAGGCGCCTTTCCTTTTCCACTAATTGAGGAAAACTTTTTCACTAAGAGTGCGTCCGGCCATGCGATTCTGCGCTGTATTGTTGTTTTATTCTTTACTGATTCATGATTATGCTTTAATTGTTTTGTGTATTATTTGGATAATAGCAACGATTTCTACCGCCACCAAGGAGGTTATGTATTCACCGATGTCACTGTCTGGGTGTCTATTCCAGTTTGTTTTTACATTTTTATATCTAGTATTGAGAATTGATAATAAAAATACGCGACGACTTGGTAACGAAAGTTTGGAACAAGTTTTTTTAGATCCAGCTGTAAGGGGCGTCCCATTTTTTGTAATCCCACCATGCATTTCGGTGGAATACAGTGGAACACTTTTTTTGTGTGGAGAACTCTATCTTGTATTTCTAGTATCTTTGATAACACGATCTGATTGGTCGGATCTTAATTTGGTTGACTGATGTGCAGCAATTAATTCATAGCAACGGTATCCCTATCACGTGATCAAACAATTACTCAGCATGCATTTTTTGGCATTATCAAGATGCGAGAGAAAGTGGAGTGTGGCGGTGGGTTTCATATAAGATTACTGTGTGTCAAGCCTAAAGTTAAAGAGGCTAGGCCTCGGCCTACTTTGTTGTTGATGAAATTTAATTCATGTTGATCTGAAATTAAAGAAGTCAACAAATTTACAAGATTTTTAATATTTAATAAGGTAAGATCGTACATATTTCTTCTGGCGTAGAGTTTGCATCAACTCTTTTTTAAGGGGCCTTATTTAGGCTTAGGCCTACTACCTAGGGCCCTAAGGCTAGGCTAGGCCTAGGAGGAGGCCTAAGCTTAGGCTAGGCCTATCTATAATAGGCGCCTCCTCCCAGGCCTAACCCCTACCTAGCTAGGCCTACAACTTACAACTTATTTGCGTGTGGGTATAATGGAATAGGCTATTTAGCCTCTTGAGACCCACAGCAGTCATTTATGCCATACTGCCCAATAATACTGTCAGACTTCCTACCACCACTAGGCCTAGGCCTACATAGGCCTAGGTTCCTAGTCTAGGCTAGGCTACAGGAACAGACACAGAGGCTAGGCTTAGGCTAGGCCAAAACAGACTCCAGAGGTCTAAAAATCGTGCATGGAGTCGATTTCCGCGCAGATTCGAAATTCAGGCTTGGTTGGAATAAATCTTGATCTACCAATGCAATTATGCTGCAGTTACGATTCCGCGCACCTATTTTCCTAGCGATTTTTCTCGCAAATTTGAACTGATTTTTTTTTAGATATCCTCCTCGAATTTAAAATACTGTATGGTAGCTTGCTACATATTGTAAATTTTTTTAGTTGTGCGGTTGATAGCTCAAAAACCAGGTAAATCGATAGCGAGAAAAAAAGTGCTCACAGTCGTAATTACATTTTAACAATACAGGGAAAAAAAAAGTTGATATTGTATAGTACAACTGATTTTTCTAAACCACAAAAATTGACCAGGGGTAATAAGGTGAAGCACTTTTGTTAGTTAGAGGCCTAATTGTTAGCATTAAAGCGCTACAGTATGTCTAATATCATTATCATATTTTGTCCCTAGAATGAAGGCATTGTGAATATTATTATTACCTTACATTCTACAAATATGTCATATTTGGAATATGGAGGCAATCCTCTGCTACTAAAGCCGGTTCCATCCCTGAGCGGCACCGTACGCGAGGACTCATACCTCAGCAAAAAGAAGAAAAAGAAACGTAACAAAAAGAACTATTTACAGGATGAGACGATTGTATACAAACGAATTGATTATGTTCTTGTTTATAAACCCGAGGATACGTACAACATGGAGATTGAGGAGAAAACTGAGTATGAGAGAAGGATGTTGTGGAGGGAGACATTTGAAAAAATGATACAAGAAGATGGCTTAGAAATTGAGGAATGTGAAATTGGCACTCATATATTTGTGAAGATCCATTGCCCATTTAAACGGCTTTGTGAACAGGCAGAAGATATGAAGATACAGATGCCACTGAAAAATGTAAGTTAAATAATAACCACACTCTGTAGAAAAACAATCTTTTACTTGTTTGTTGTACAGCTGATTTTTCCCAGACACAAAAAGCATATTTGATGAAAGACTTCGGAACAGTTAATGAGATACAGATTTTTGAATATTTAAAAACTGAGGTAAAAGGTGTTAAAAAGGGTGGTTACTGCCCTTTTCCCTAGTTTTTAAATATTCAAAAATCTGTATCTCAGTAACAGAGTTTTTTTTTGTAAAATATGCTTTTTGTGCCCTAGAAAAATAAGTTGTACAATATATCAACAAAATATTTTCCTCCTGAGCTGTAATTATTGGAGCACATGCATGAGGATTTTCAGTTAAAAAATTTATTTCCTAGAAATCTGTCTGCTTATATTGAATGTACTCAGGGTAATAGGGAACTATTGATTGAACGACGACAGTAGGACAAAGAACGTAATGATGTCACATAAGCTCCTCTGCGCATGCGAGAACATTGAATTTACATGGAGTCTAGGACGCAATTAGGGACAATCTACGTTATGCAGAGGAAGTAGGACAGTCACGTATGTGACACGCATGCGTCACGCATGTGTCATGCATGTGTCATGCATGTGTCAATCAGTTTTAGCATCGTACTTGCAGACAGTGGTGTACCTAGAGTCTTAAAATGGGGGGAGGGGGAGGCTGATGGGAAACGAATGTAAAGTGGATAGGGATCAAGAATTAGGTGAGGGAGTGATCTTTAACTATTTGAGCGTGATTTTTTTGTTGGCGACTGGAGGGCGCAAGCATATATTTTTAGGGCGTGCGAAGGTACTCATTAATTTCCTTTTTTTATGATTATTTTTTATTATCGTTTATAATATATTTGTGCAAATGTCTACTTTTTAATGAGTATACAAATGAAAGTACTTTATTAATTGATTGTTATTTTATTCCCCTAGGCTTCTATTATTCCTTCTGAACCCAAAGGCTGTGTAGATAAATTTTGGCAACGATTTGTAACAGATACTGAAAGTAAGCATTGAATGTTATAAATGACAAATGTTGACAGTATGGTAGAGATGATGATGATGATGATGATATCTGACGATAAAGATGTTGATCTTGGTGATGGTACAGTAGATGCAAGATGGCGATGATTCAAGATTATGATCATAAATAATGATTAAAATGATGATGTTCATGATATGATAATGACACCGATAATAATGACACTGCCCAATAATGACACCAAATATAGTGAATTCTGTATTCAATTATACAGACAGCAAAGCATTGTATTGTCATCATTATCATTCATCATATTGTCATCAACATCATCATCAATATCATAATCATAATAATTATTTAGTACCACCATCATCATTTTCTTTTATTATAAACAAATCTGTGTTTTACGTTCTTCTGCTTCAGTTGATTTTGTAAGTGCTCCATTTACGATTGACAAACGCGACGCCTTTGAGGGCATCGACAATCCTGACACTTTTTTCAGACCGGCAACCAGAGCTGTACTGGTAATACTACTTTGTATTATATTATTATATGATATATTTATTAATGATTGCTATTTAATTCCTCTCTTGGGTTAAACAAGCTAATGAAGAATAATTATGCAGTCAATGAATGTGTTTATCCAATTTATTTTATTCCTTCAACTTCTTTTCATGAAGGTACATTTACAATGGTTGGCTTTCATAATATTGATATAATGCAATTATTATATTATATTATATTATATTACCTACTTTATATTTATTAATTATTGCTATTTAATTCCTCCCTTGATTTAAACAAACAAAGGAAGACTATACAATCAGTGAATGTGTTTATCCCATATATTTATTCCTTCAACTTCTTTTCAAAATATACATTTACTGTACGAGGCTAGCTCTTAATAATAATAAACTATAAAAAAAAAAATTGTCAATAATGTAAACATGGGCAAGCACTATGAAAGTCGGTAAAGTCGCATGTTGGTTACTTTAATATGATGTTTATTCTTTTAAACAACTTCATCCTTTTGTATCTTATGTTTTTTTGAGTTGACCATTTTGGCGGAGAGCCTGTTCATGCTCATATGTCATTTAAGTGGGGTAAATGACATGTATTTATTGATTTTCATACCATCGTTTTATTGTCGCTGCTGCATGTAATTGTCGTTTAGTGGCCTTGTAAGCTGTCTTCGACTTCTTCCTCCATCGTAAATTCCCTATTGCCATATACCACAATCAGTCACGCTAATTTTATGGGGATATTTTTGACTGAATAAATGATCATTATTTAGCTTTGTAGATGTGTTTAAAATCTTTTTATTTTTCTATCAGGCAAACAATATTCTAATCAACCTGGATATCAGGACCGAGGTGATGATAATAATTACATGTATTGTGTGTTCTGCTATTGTCAGCATTATAAATTTATATTCATGCTTAGACATTTAAAGTGACAATTGGTGCTTTATAGGTATTTAGTCTCATTTAGGTGACCAAAATAATAATTTCAAATAACCCAAAATTTGTGGATTCACTAGTGCAACAATTTATTTATTTTTTTTTTTATTCATTTATACACTTTTACATTCATCCATTAATTAAATCATTGAATCAAATTCAATAGTATTCATTAATGCATTAAATCATCCGCTCATTAATTTATGTATAATAAATAATTGTTTCAATTTATTCAATTAATCATTTTTTGCATGTAAATTTAATAATTTATTTATTTTACAAATAATCAGCAAAGTATTGTAACATACAAGAATTAATTCACAATCAGCAAGTCTGGGGAATACCGTATATTCTTGCGATCTATGTATAGATTGACCCCCAACTTTGAGAAGATTTTTAGACGATTTTTGTATGTCAGGCATATGACAATTTACCCAGCATGACAATATTGTGAGATTTAGTTGATGCAGGGTTCAAGGGTCCCACCAGCTTTTCAATGACAGGTACTCTGGCCCATCGTACCCCAATGGATGGGTCAGAGTCCACACCTACCTGAGATCTATCATGATTTAGTTCTCCGACAGATTTTACCGTGACTCACTGATGGCTATGCCAGTCCTCAAAAATGGTTGGAACGGGGCCAAGCCAGATGACCCACTGAGGCTTTTATAAGGGGCAGATCTGGGGGAAGGGAAAGAAAAAAAAAAGAAATTATTGATCGCTTAAAACACGTCAAGGTTTAATTCCAAGCTCAACCTTTATACCAGCAGCTGTTGCTAAGTGTTGTTTATATTGTCCCTGTTGTTCCTTAATTGGATAGTGTTCGTAACTTGTATTTGTAGCCCATATGGATATATACTTCCTTTTATAGATATTGTAATAAAATCAAAACCTGATTTACACTAAATATTTTTAGTTTAAAATTGGGGATGGGGAAGTTCATGTAGTGGGTGCGTGTCTGTGAATGCATTTGTTTGATATTATTCTTTTACGAATAACATTAAGGTCCTCTATTATCGTATGTTGCCATGTATTATTGACTCCCAATGTGGTTTAGTGACTGTATTTTAACTACGAAAGTGGTGTCTGGTAAATCGTATTTTCGTACAATTTTACGTGAATTTTACGTTGTAGTAATACTGTACGTTGGAACTATTTTCAAGCTAACATCAGCTAATTGTCATTTAACTATAAAAGTGCTTCATTGTTATTGAATGTTATGCGCTATGTATACTTTCATATGCAGTATAATAATGGCATAATACATGATCAAAGATAGTTCATTTCATCAGTCATCGCAGATCCTGTGATGTCATATATTTCTATGTACTAAAATGTTGCTGTTGTTTATATCATTGTTTTTCCATTACACAATTTTGTGAACCCACCAGGGTTTGTAGGCTTATGTATGCAAACAAAATTTATAAATCCTGGAGGTCAGTATGTTAGGTCTGAGGTGACCTCTTTAGCTTGGTTTCCATACAATCGCTACACGCTATCGTCGACAGCTTTCAGGGATGCTGATTGGTCGGTCTAGTCGAGGAGCCTTCCCGATTGCATCGGTGACTGCTACGCAGTACAAAGATTGACAGTCGCCGACAATTGTCGGGAAGTTTGAACACGTTTCAACTTTGCCGATTGCATTGCAGACGAATTGGGGTGCCTTCCTGATTGCCATGGAAGTCAATCGCCGCCAAAAATACAGTTACAAACGAACAACCTACTCGCAAAAGCGTACAGCCTACTCGCAGAAACGAACAACCTACTCGCAGAAACGAACAACCTACTCGCAGAAATGAACAGCCTACTCGCAGAAACCTACAATGTACATGCTGTAAAGGACAACGTTAGCAAAAACAGACAACAAAAGACACTCACAGAAACGAACAAACTACTCACAGAAACGAACAACGTAGTTGCAGAAATGGATGCGCACAGCACTCTCTGAAAAGGACAACGGAATCATCCATTTCAAGATAGGTCAGCAAAATATCGCATCTTAAGGCTGAATGTAATTTTCTTCCTAAGCATAGCCCCCTTTATAATACTTGCCTTTCAACATATGAGATGCTCGTTATTTTAAGCCATTTTCTCCCACAACACCGATGGACAATGTGACCACTGCCTGGGATTTATCCCAAGATCTTGGGATTTTTAATGGCACCTTGGTATCTTTGGATTTTTTGTTAAATTTTCACTAGATCTTGGGATTTTTTGAATGATATGGAATTTTAAAAGTTAACAAATAGGCTGCTACCAGACAGATGTGAGTAAGAGTTGTTTGTTTGTTAAAAATAAGACAAATTGGAAGCTTAGTAGATTGAAAGCTGTTGTTTAAAGCCATTTTCAACATTCTCCAAAAAATAATAAGGTGCATTTTAAAGTTAAATCTCGTGAAACATTGTGTCCAGTCGCACAATCAGACCTTCGCATCGTTCGCATGGTTCATATTATGACTTTTTTTAAAATTAGTATTAATACAGTAC